TCCTCCTGCCCTTCCTCTTTTCCCTCCATCCATCTCTTCTCCTCCTCCTCATCGTCCTCACTATCCTCGTAGTCCTCCTTGTCCACATCATCCTCCTCCTCTCCATATCCCCCTCTCCTTGCCATATCCCCATCTTCCTGTCATACGCCCCCTCGTTCCCCCTCCCAAAAAAAGATAAATAATAATAATAAAAATAAAAAACCTGCACGATTCCGCACAGGCACCCCCCGCACGAAACTCCGTATGGAACTCCGCATGAATGTGCGGCTCAAGCGGTTGCAAGTATGCTCTAGAGTCTATTAAGTGGCATACTGCACACCACAGGGGCCTGCAAGGCTCGACCAGGCGGAACAAGGGATAAGTAAGGGCCATCCAGGCCCTGTGTCGTTTCAGCCTAAAAAGGAGAGCCAATGTTAGACCCTGTTAAAGTCGACCTTTCCTGAAACTTAGGCGCCAGACCAGGGATAAGCGCAGGCCATATTTAGGCCCGTTTCAAGACAACCTTTTTTTGAACTTGGGCGCCAGGGGCTGGCGCGATTCGGCATTGGCAAGAGCAGCCTCCCAGCCGGACCAGCACTATATATCGCTGGTCCACCTAGGAGGTAGTAGGCAGTTCAGGAGCTATTCTTCAGGATTCGGCAGCAGCACTCTGCGGAGCGCTGCAGTAGTAGTAGACAGGAGTAGTCTTCAGCGCTGGCGCTTAGAGTAGCGTTAGAGAGGGAGGAGAGTGGCCGAGGCCAGGGAGCTTACCTGTTACGCCATCGCTCCAGCTTCGTCTTCGAGGTACCTGCAGCAAGGCGCCACCATTCACAAGTTAGTACCGGGCACCAGGAGAAAGAGAGAGAGAGAGTTCTTCTTCTTCTTCTTCCTCCAGTCCACCGTCTCTCCCTCCCCCTCCAGCTACCTGACTCCTCAGTATCGGCAGACTACGAGAGAGAGAGAGAGAGAGAGAGAGAGAGAGAGAGAGAGAGAGAGAGAGAGAGAGAGAGAGAGAGAGAGAGATTTGTTATGAACTTGGTTGTCTGACAATTTGATTGCCACTCTCACCCAGAAGAACTCACACACTCCCATACATGCATGAGACAAAGGGGAGAAGGAGACAGGGTCCAACTGCACACAGATCAGAGATAAACAGCGGAATAGCAATGATGCACAGAAGGGGAGAATACACTCAATGTTTCTCTCTCCCTGACACACTCCCAACAACCAATCACAATTGACACTGCGAAGATCACAGTTGGAAAGTAACCCAGACGAAGAGCCAACTCAACACAGTTAACCTCAATTATCGTTACAGAGTTCCACCCAGTGTCTCGCCACTCAGGAACCACACACTCCACTCACTACCACACTCTCAGAGTCTAGCGCTGCACAGAAATAGCCTCCCAGAGGCCAGCGCCATACACCCAGATGCAGATCATGAATAGCGAAGTAGCCTCCAGTGCCGATGAGTCACTCTGACGATGAAGAAGACAGCTATGGCTGCCTGGCTGCTACCGCAGCAGCAGTACCCACATGTACTYTGTSAAGACCTCCCAGATAGTCCTGCCAACGCAGATATCCCCCAGGGGATAGATGCGCTGAGTACAGCCCCAGCTATGGCTGYCTCAGGTGGCGGGCTATGGCTGCTCCACTCACGGCTGATGTCTCCGGTGCCACTGCAGACATTCAGCGCTGCTCAACTTGGTTGGCCACCAACGCTGCATGCGGAAAATGAAAGCCAAAAGTCCCCCTATCAGTTTCCCTCCTAGACTTATAGATTCCTACACTAGCCTAAACCGAAACTGGACTGACTGGACCTACTGGTACCGTTGCTGTTTCTCGGCCTCTCGGCCTCTACCGGACCCGGCTATAGGCTATAGGACCGTATACCAGTATAGGCCGCTTAGGGCCTGTCTGTCCTAGGGTAGCCTGGGCCTGCTATAGGCAGTTAGGGTAGTAGTAGGGATTCGGTTAGTTTAGGGCCTATAGTCCCTCAGAATTACGGGTCTGCCCCTCGCGAATTTCCCCACAGTCAAGTCACTCGGTTAGCCCTCAGCCAAACAAAATTGTGAATCTAACCCTACGGTTAGTGTATAGCCTCGCAGACAAACTCGGCAGCAGAAATCAGCAAGTCATTGCAGATTTCTGACTTTGGGATGTTGACCACATGTGGATACGGACTCGAGTTTGTGACAGCGACATTGGATGGGGATTATTTGGGATCTATATCGAAGACTTGGTGTTGACGACATCCTCATTCCTCCCTTCCTCTTCGTCTGATCCCCCTCCTCGTCATCTATGTATGATCTGGGCCTGGCGCATTCCTCCTATGTGTAGCGCCAGGCCCCTTCACACCTTGCGATGATGATGATGTATGTTTGGTCTGCATTGCGACATTGATTGGTCTGATCATTGGTATTTTAGCCTTCCGCTGCGCTATCCTGTACTATGTGAGAGAGGTTGGTTCTTGTTCTGGTCTGCACCATTACGGTATGCAACAGTTTGGTATCGGAGCGGACCTCTCAATCAGAGGATCTGCCCAATCAAGGAGCCATCTTGCTTGCTTGCTTGCTTGCTTAATCAAGTAGGGCTTCGTCAAATCTCTGCATTTTTTTTTCCGCAACAGATCTCCGGAAATTCAGATATTAGCATTTCGTTTTTTGTTTCACTCTGGGCAGATTAGGTGAAGTAGGGAGGTTGTCATATTCTCGGAAATTGGATCTATTCTTCTCTGAAAGTGGAACCTCCACTCTATTTCGCACAAAAGATTTTTTTTTCAAGATCGCATTTTTTTTGAAAGCCGAAACTTTGTGAAACCTTGCCTAGATCTCGCTCATAGCACTCCTCCGTAATGCCTCACTAATAGCCGATCGACAGATATTCAAAAAAAAAAAAAGAAAAAAAAAAGGGGGGGGGCATCCTCTTCTTTTATTTTATTTTTTTGTTCTGTTGATTAGGACCAGGAACAGAAAGTGCAGTTTGGTGACCTTCCTGCGTTTCCCTCCCACCCAGCCCTTTGCCTGCGTTCCTGGTTTGGTAAGCGCCACGTCAGCAGCAGTGCCATGTCAGCAACGCCACGTCAGTAGCAGCACCACGTCAGCAGTGCCACGACAGTAGCAGCGCCACGTCAGCAGTGCCACGACAGCGGCAGTGCCACGACAGCAGTGCCCCGCCACCATGACGATTTCAGTTCTGGGCATGCCAGGCCAACTGACCAGCGAGTCCATTGCCGAGTTCCGACAGCGGATCCAAGATCAGCTCGCACAGATCGAGGCTGAGGAACAGCGCCAGGCGGCAGCCGAGGCTGCCTGCCTACAGGCTGAAGCGGCTGAAAAGCAGCAGCTTCAGGCAGCAGCTGACCCAGATGCCCAGGCCCGCTGCAAGCAGGCCCAAGATCTGTTGCAGCGGCACGAAGCCGCCAGCGTCGACAGGCTCAAGTTCTGGCACTTTGAATCATCTGAGGGCCACGACAACACAACACCGGAAGAGCAGCACAAGGAGTTTCTCTCCAAACTCGTGACCCAGTTGGTTTACACTTGTAACCACCTGCAGTCCGAGTTAGAGAAACAGCACCAGGAACTGGAGAAGCTCCGACAGGCAGTGCGGAGCCACAAGGACCTGCACGAGGATGCCACACNCTACCGGACCCGGCTATAGGCTATAGGACCGTATACCAGTATAGGCCACTTATTGCCTGTCTGTCCTAGGGTAGCCGGGGCCTGCTATAGGCAGTTAGGGTAGTAGTAGGGGTTCGGTTAGTTTAGGGCCTATAGTCCCTCAGAATTACGGGTCTGCCCCTCGCGAATTTCCCCACAGGCAAGTCACTCGGTTAGCCCTCAGCCAAACAAAATTGTGAATCTAACCCTACGGTTAGTGTACAGCCTCGCAGACAAACTCGGCAGCAGAAATCAGCAAGTCATTGCAGGCTTACCCTCCCCGGGAGCGAGGACCTCCGAGCTAGGGGTGCAGACGAGGTGAGCGGCGAAGATTACCCTTTTGAGCCGCCTCATACCGCAGAACTATAGACTTTGCTGTCTTGATCAGGTCTCTTCTGTAGAACCATCGGTTCTCAGAAGGAGGCTGGAATGCAAACCTGACAAGATACTGCCGGTCGGGGCCAGTGCCCCACTCGTCCTCAATTGCCACCACATCATATCCCTTGCCAGGGATTGGTGGGCCCCATTGAGGGGGCCGGTCCGGGAATGCATCAGCTGGTATGAAAGGCAGCAACTTAGATGCATGGAAGACCGGATAGGTTTGTAGATGCAGGGGCACGTCAATGACGTACGATGGGCCGAAAGGATCAGCGCCCACTGTATCTAGAACCTGCCACGAACCCAGGTAGCGTGGCAGCAGCTTGGGAGAGATATCCTTCTCCCTCGACAACTCAGAACTGGCCACCCAGACATAGTGACCAATGCGGATAGGGGAAGGCCGCCTGTGGCGGTTTGCTTGTTCAATCATGGCCTTTTGGGCCTTGAACAAGTTCGCCCGGGCTCTCTCCACATCCAGACGATAGCGTCTGGCGAACTCTGCAGTGCCTGGGGTAAGGTCAGGCTTAGCCTTATCGATGATATCATCGAGAGGCTGTCGTGGTTCACGTCCCCAATGTAACCGGTAGRGACTGAACCCTRTCGAGGAGTGGACARACATGTTATACATGAGCTGTGCCYTCGCCAAGTGGAGATCCCARTCCTGCTGATCAGGAGAGATCACAGGACGTAGCAACTGGAACAGGACCTGGTTCATCACTTCGGCCAATCCATTGGCTTCAGGATGACGACCAGAAGTCATGTCCAGGCGTGAGTGCAGATACTCCTTGCAATAGGACTGCCACTCATTGCTGCAGAATCTGGGGTCTCGATCACTCACAACAGAGGTGGGCGGTCCATGGTGTGTGACCCACCTCTCAGAAAAGGCTGCTCTCACAAGCGGTACCCTGGCTACCTCTGGCAAGGGGATGAACTCTGCGTATTTGGAGAACATGTCCACGCAGACCATGACCTGACGCATGCCACGAGGGGTAGTCTTGCCTAAGTCTGTGAAATCAATAGACACAGACTGGGCAGGACCATCAGGTATGGGCAAAGGTTTGAGCAATCACAAAGGAGGTTTACGCTGAACCTTGTTCCTTTGGCAGAGCTCACAGGTGTCCACATAGCGCAACATATCACTCCGCATCTCCTTCCAGAAGAAGCGCTGCGACAGGGCTGCATATGACTTTAGGAACCCAAAGTGTCCACGCGCATCGTGGCACTCTGACATCAGCAGTGTCCCCAGCTGCTGGTCCTCAGGGATGCACAAGCGCTCCTCTCCTCTGCTGTAAGTGTACAACAGATCTGAACTCAGTGCATAGCCATGTTCAGAATTAGGATCTGCTTGCAGATTCCTGACGGTGGGTCCATAAGTCGGATCCTGAGGCAGCAAACGAGCGATGGTCTGACGGACCTCCTCTCCAAAGGAGTGAGTAGAGGAGATCAACGCAAAAGAGTCAGGCCTACGAGAGAGGGCGTCTGCTACTTTGTTGTAGCAACCCTTCTTATGCTTCAGTTCAAAGTCAAACAGATCAATGAACTGTATGTAGCGTGTCAGTTTATCATTCAACTCTCCCTGGGACTTCAACCACTGCAGGGTGGAATGATCAGAAAAGATCTTGAAGTGTCTGCCCAGGAGAAAGTGTTTCCAATGTTTCAGGGCACTGACCAGAGCATAAAGCTCTTTCTCGTAGGTAGAGTCCTGAAGCTTCTGAGTTTTGATCTTCTTACTCATAAACTCTACAGGTCTCAGACCATTACCATCATCCTGCTGCAGGATTGCCCCAATGCCATACTGACTGGCGTCAGTGGTGAGAACAAATGGCAGAGTGGGGTCAGGCAACTTCAGAACAGGTGCACGAGTCAAGGCCTGTTTGAGTCGTGCAAAGGCCATCTCACAGTGGAGGGACCAAAGAAAGGGAGTGTCTTTCTTCGTGAGGTTAGTCAGGGGTGCAGCCACAACAGAAAAGTTCCTGACGAACTTTATGTAGTAGGAGGCCAGACCCAAGAATGACCGGACACCTCTCACTGTCTGAGGTTGTGGCCAATCCTGAATAGCAGCAACCTTGGCTGCTTCAGGGGCCAAACCATCTCCAGAGATTACATGACCCAGGTAGATAACAGAGGGAACTCCAAAAGAGGATTTCTCCCTGTTGATCTTGTACTGGCTGTCACGTAACGACTGAAGGACTAGAGCCAGGTGCTCCGCATGTTCCCTGGTAGTTTTGCTGAATACCAGGATATCATCCAGGTAGACAACCATAAACTTATCCAGGTACGGCCTGAATATGCGGTGCATCTCAGTCTGGAATGTACCAGGTGCATTGCAGAGTCCAAATGGCATCACCAGGTACTCATAAGTACCATACCTGGTTTTGAAGGCCGTCTTGTGGACGTCCTCCTCTGCCATCTCAATCTGGTGGTAGCCAGATTTGAGGTCGACTTAGCTGAAGATGGTGCAGCCCTGGACCATATCCAGAAGGTCGTCGATCCTAGGAAGTGGCTCTATGCTCTTCCTAGTGATCTTGTTGAGACCCCTGTAGTCGATGCACATTCTGAATTCCCCACTCCCCTTTGGGACAAAGAGGACTGGAGCACCGAATTTAGAAGTGCTGGGCCTGATCCAGCCTTTGCTGGTCAGGGTCTCAAGCTGTCGCCTGAGCTCCTCGAGCTCAGCAGGTGACATCCTGTAGATGCGGCCCTTGGGAGGGACCGCTCCAGGCAGCAGCTCAATACGATGCTTGGTTGG